TCCCTCACCTCTCCTTCCCTGGCCTGGGCAGGTGGTATAGGGCTCAATTCAGGGCTTTGGGGCTTGCTTTGGGTTTGTAAAGAGGAGCAAACAACATGTAATTTTAGGAAAAGTACTTCACACAAGGGCTGAATTGCAGTGTGTGTGAACAAAGGGGATAGAGTGAAGATGATGTTTTTACTAAATTTAGCTGTGCACAGACCCGAGGAAGGATTGCACATCCATTAATGTATTCTTGTAGCCTGACAATGCTCTCACCATCATAAAAAACAGGTAGTGCATCGTTTTTCAATATTAGTTCCCAGTTAAGATCCCTAAAAGTAGTTAAAACCAAAGAGAATTACGACATATGGAACATGAGAAACACTAGATATTGCCAAGCTGTCTCAATATGCCTCTAAAATAAGATTACACAACAGAGGCAAATTACGCTAACTTGCTGAGTCAGCTAGTTAATATGTGAGAGGTTTGCTACTTTTACACCTGTACTGCTTTTGGTTGATGTTTTCTGTTCTAATATTGAAAGACCGCACTGACTGAGTAAAGATCCATTGCTCATCGAAGTGGTAGCACACTTGTGATCTGGTCAAATGCCATGTAGCAACTAAAGAGTTGGATAGTTTGATATTTTTTGTTTGTGTTTTGCAGTTGCAGTCATGTGAAAAGGGCAGCATGCTTGCTTTCAGTTCTAAGATGTTAAAAAAAAAACAAAAAGAAAAAAATATTCTGGTCCAGTGTCCTGAATTTCCTTTTTATCGTTATTTATTTCATGAAAACTGGGCCAGGATGAAGATTAGCGGTAAAAAATTCCTTCCTTATTCCCCAACAGTCAAGTGGATAAGTAGTAGCCATTTGCTTTTAATCAAATTCATTTAATGGGAGAATCATTTGTCATATTAAAACCGCATGATTTTGCTTTTTTGATGGTGCTTACGCACTGATGTAGAAATCCTCTGAACTGAAAGGGGGTTCACTTCCCGTATTCACATGGCTGCACACAGCCACCCTAATCGGTCAGGGTTTATTCTTGTATCTTGTACTCGAGTCCTCGTTCGTCCAAGTTGATTTTTCTCCTGCCGAGTGGTTGCTAACAGTGGTGCTGGGTTGTGCTGGGACTCGACTGTTCCCCTCGGTGAAATCACATCCATGTCAGTGATTGGAATTAACCTTCTACACCTTTTCAAATCATCCCTTTTTACCCTTCCTTTTCCTTATCTCCTCTTATCTCAAACCTTTTTATTTCTGTAATTCCATCTTTCTGCACCAACTTTTGCTTCGTGTCTCAGAGAATCTCCATATCACAGATGGGCCTCTTCTCATTTGAACTTTTTACTTAATACCTTTTGGACAAATGGTGGTTTGGGAATTATTCACGGCATCTCGTCATAAGTAAGATGAGGTCTTAAAATGACCCTACAGTTGGGTATGAGCTATTGTCGAAGGACCATGAAATGTGGCATTTTAAAAGGTCACATTACATTTATTCAATGAGGTATAAAACCTTTTAAAGGTCAGGTCCTTTCAAACCACTCTTGTGTAATCTTACAATTCCAAATTCATGGAGTTCCCCTTGACCACATTAGCAAATATTAACCAAAGATCTTAAGTAAATAGCAGGGGAAAGAAATGAGGGGAGGCCGTTCCCACGTTATCGAGCTTTCCTATTGAACTAGCCCAATAAAGAAGCGTGACGAATGATCCAAAAGAATTTCAGACTTTGTTTGACTTTTCGAACAGGAGACTTGACCTCGGCTGACCCCCTGGTGCTTGACCAGTATGTGGCGGTGACGGATTATGAGAAGCAGGAGAGCTCTGAGATCAGCCTGCATGTGGGCCAAGTGGTGGAGGTTATTGAGAAAAATGAATCGGGCAAGTTATTTGAGTTTAACATTATTGGTTTTTGTTTTGTTTTTTTCATTATGGTTGTTCCCAAGTTTTTCTGGTTTCTGTAATGCCGACTGCTTTTTGTACTTGTGATTTTATATATTCTTTACTTTTTTATATTTTATTAGATTAAATTGTCAACCTATATGTAAAAAGACTTATAAAGAGTAACCAGTGCTATTACAATGGCTTCATTATGCAAAAATCTTACCGTAAACATGCGTTAAATGGCAGTTGATGACAGAATCCCTCATGTCCTTATCACAAGTCAAGATCTTGACAATCATGAAAAAAAGAAAAACATTTTTTATAAAAAACACCACGATTTTTCAGTTTATTTTTTAGTATATTTTGAGTATTATATGTGGGGAATCATGGTAAATGATCCAGTGTTACCCACTAAAAGAAACTCAGATTTGAGTCGTCAGCCCAAAAGAACGTTTTTGGTCCATCTCTTTCATAAACCCACTCCCAGAGAAGAAATACCTTTCCGTGTTATGGCCGTGCTGCCAGGGGCTCAAATACCAACGCATTTCATTATTTAATTTCAACCTGCCCCTTTCATGTATTTGATTAAACCTGCTGCCGTCCCATCCTTGTATAAACTTTTGAAAAATAATTCGGTGGACAGACTGTGACAAGTCCTCTGATTGAATTCTCTGGATATTTTGTGTTTGAATGTGTTTTTCTCCTGCTGGTTCAGGATGGTGGTTCGTGAGCTCAGAGGACGCTCAGGGCTGGGTCCCTGCCACTTGTCTTGAGGCGCAAGATGACCCCGATGACTTCTCCCTCCCCGGGGAAGAAGGTAAATAAAGCTTCATATCTAGATACTTTTGTCTAGATACTGTTGATAATTCCAAAGAGACACAAAAAAAATGTGTTTCTACAATGTGAAACTAGTTAATTCTAAATCATGAAAAAAAGTGTGCAAGAAAAAAAGAAAAAGTTTGAATCGCTGACTTGTGTGGTATTCACAATTTTGAGCTTTTTGGTTAAGCCCAGGCCTCAATAAACGTTTTAAAAAAGCTAAAACTGTCACACTATCACAGAGGTAGTTAGGATATCTGCTCACCCAGACTTTCCTCTTCAGGCTCTCTATTTCCTCTCATAAAAGGGAGCATTTTAGATGCTATTGAAATGGAATGGAGTGTTTCTTTAATGTATCTGCACTGTGAAAATAATTGAATGTGAAGTATCGAACACGGGTATAGTTTTCGGTGTAAGTTATAGTGGCATTTTAGCAGGTCGCTGTTGTGCAATATCATAGTAAGTTACAATAAACTGTAAATAGGTTTACACGAGTAGTTTTTAATCATTAGAAGCAATCAGTCCATAAGGAAGCACTCTAAACTTGCATTTTGGTGAGCTTTGATTAGCAAAAGAAACATTTTAAAGAAAATATAAGCGAAAGACTCAGAATCATTGACTCAAACGTCAATAAGTGCTTTCATTTAGGATGAAACCATCATCCAAGTAGCATATGTAATGCTCACTTCCTATTTTACCCCACTTACTGTGCTGGGATGTCAGTGCCTCGCAGATTCTGGTCACTGCCAAGGCATGTGGGTCGTCGCAGAACTTTAGGGGATCTGTTCAGCACAGGCTTTGGGCCAGGTGGAGCGCACGACTTTCTTTCCCCCCTTTATTGACCGTGTGTGTGCGTGTGTGTGTGTCCGCATGCATGTGTCCATGTTACATTTGTGTGCATGTGTGTTAATGCTTCTGCATGAATGAACGTTGCATGAGTGACCCCTGGCATGGAAGTAAAACCCCTTGCAAGCAAAATGTTTTGTGCATTCTTATTTTTTATGAAATTAAAACTATTGTAGAATGAGCGTCTACAATATTGAACAAAACGTGTTGAGCCACCCCTCTTTTCTCTTTGCTCCAAAGTTGCCAGACTGTCTTGCAATCTGCTAAAGTGGCCTTGTCTAAAGATTTTTATTTGGACCCCGGCTGCTTTTTCAGTCATTTGAAGTCCAATCATTGCACCTGACCATTTTCAGAAGAATGTTTTAGGGTTTTTTATAACTTGGAAAAAGATATATTTGAAATGATGTGTTTACTTGGAATATCTGTAAAGGAAAATCAGCAGATGAACGGCATCTGAAATTTCCTTAAGACACCATGATGACTTCTCTTCAGTTTCCGAATCGCTGCATTATTGAAGCAGTTAACAGAAGAAAGAGAAATGAGGGCTGCATGTTTGTGTTATAAGCATAAGTGTGCATGTGTATATATATATATATATATATATATATATATATATATATATATATAT